CACTTTCAGAATTTAAAAGTTCATCTTAACCTAGCATACAATCTACAGAACCAATAGCAGAGGAAGAATTAAGGCAAATCACTGCTAAACATTGACCTCACCAAAAATGGCACCTGAACCACTCAAAAGAGCAGAAATGACAAGCTGGGAACTTCCCAGTAGTTGGTTTATAATTATATTCCTTTTTTTCTCCCTCTATTCTAGAAGGCAAATAAAACCTGCCATAGACCATTGTCATTCTATTATAATTTCATCCCCAAGTAGCCTTCAATGACATACTAATTCTCCAGTTTTTCATTTCTTTAGCTTGTTCTGGTGACTGGATATATCTCACTATCTTGGTATGTTGTAATGATACTACCTCCTACAAGATGGATTGTTTGCTCTTTCCATCAACAACAGTACCCTATTATTACAAGAGAAGAGTCCCTACCCATTTAAAGAGTCAAAAGAGAAACAATATTTTCATAATTAGGCAGCAGTATAAGAAAGAAGTAAGTATAGGAACTTTTTATGAGAAACTTCAAGAAAATAGGTTTCTTGACTCAAGAGACAAATGTCACACTTTACAGGATTGGCTTCCTTTAGATGATAATTAGATGATTCATCATAAGTTAGTTTTAAATAACTGGAAGTATGAAAGAACACATACAAGTTGTGAGATCTACAAGCAACTAAGGAGAGTGTGATATGAACCATACACAATAGAGGATAAAATAAGATAACTGCAAAGTAGGTGGTAACATTTAGACCTTACTGTCTGAAAAACCTCTTGTAGAAATATGGGGACAGAGAGCTTTAAAGAGAGATAGGCCTATGTTCAAATTCCAGACCTACCTCCTGCTTGATGTGCATGTTTGATCAAATTACTCAAACATCCCAAACCTCAGTTTCCTCCTCTGTAAAACAGGTGTGATAAATTTCTAGGTCACAGGGGTGGAACGAGAACTGGTAGGTAATGTGACATATGGTAGGTAGTTGCTATCGATTGTGGTTATATCTGGAAAAGATTTACTTTTGAATTAAAAATCGTATAGACTTTTTTCAATTTGAAGTAGAAATGTCAAGAGTTTCTTTTGAACGTTCTACGGAGACTTCTCTTCCTAATTCATTTACCACATTGGCAGAAATAGCACTGTAAGCTTAACTTGGCCGAGTCTGCTTCATTCATCTGTCAACAAGATTCTAAGGTTCAAACCGAGTTGACAATTGTGGAAGGTGGATGGAACGGAACTGCTGTGCAATGGCGTCATGTTTCACACCTCAGAGGGTTCTTGCTACCAACAATAACATCATATCTCTGTCAGTCAAGCATAATTATAGGGCTTGATAGACTGATACCAATAAAACAGCCAGTTAAAAAAGGTCTCCTGACTCCCTTCCAGCTGCACGTATAGGACTTACTTGATTCTGTGACTCATGAATAGTACAATGGTACTTCCTTTTGGGACAAAAGGACAGAGGGACTGCACCCCCTCCTGACTCTGAAAATCAGAACAGGAAGAAAATTGGCTCCATCTGAAAACACTGAAGTTATTTCGTAAATTTTGATCAAACCCTTTACTTCTTATTTCAATATGAATATATTCTAAAGACATCCAAAATAGGATACAATTTCATAGTCAGGAACACAATGGTCAGCATATCATCATTTTTGTAAGTAACAGTTGTCGCATTTGAGTTAGACACTCAAAAAGCCTGCATAGGGTTCTTTAAAGCAGTATGCTTATACTTGTTACCTTTATGAGAAAGAAAACAGAAAAAAGTATTTGCTACTCACATTAAAAAAAATTACGTATATTGTCATAAAAGTGCCCCATTGCAGCCTTTTATAGCAGAGACTCCTATGGTAGTAACATGTTTTTGTTAAAATGGACAAGGTTGAATAGCTTCTTGTAGAGAAAATTGATACGTGGGATCTAATGCAAGTTGCATTTCAAGCTTTAAATTATAAATGATCTCAACATGCAAGAATATGGAAACTGACAAGAGAAACATATAATTATATATCCACACATAATTCTAGAGTGACATATCCAAGCTTTCCAAAATATATCAAATGAAGATATAAGTGCAAGGTTGCTAAACTAAATTTTATCATCATGTATGGTTTTATGGTTTTCTTTTTTTCTTTTCTTTTCTTTTTTTTGTTAAGTCTTATTTGTTAATCTTACTTGAGACCATTACATTGGGAGGGTGAAGAAAATCAGATGACTTGACTCTTTGTGATAATGAGGGACAATGTGATCTGCCATCCTCCCCTTGGGACAACCAGTCTGTTGCTGTTTGTTCCTTCAGAGCAGTGCCCTAATGCCATCTTTTGTATAATGAGAAAGTGAATGACAAGAGAATCACATCAGGATCCTCAGTTACACTTCATGATCCTTCTGTTCACAGGAAGCCACAGTGCCTCCCATGCTCAGGGCCAGAGGAAGTTTATTTAGTTGCCATAAATTATATGCCAAGAAGCAAGATTATTCAACTTTTCATATTACCTTTGGACTTTATGTTTAGAGTACAGAATGATGGCAAGAGCATTTGTGATTAAATGGCAAACAATTATCTTGATGTTGTATCCAGTTTCTTATTTGGGGGGTATGTTAGTTACCCCACAAAAGCTAGCTTTTCCTTGCTGTGGCCAAAATGCCTGACAAGGACAAGTTAGAGGAAAAAAGATTTATTTGGGGCTCATGGTTTCAGAGGTTCAGTCTGTGGTCAACTGAGTCTTTGCTCTGAACCTAAGATGAGACAGAACATCTGTGGAAGGGTGTTACCCAGGGAAGCTGTTCCCCTCATGGTAGTCAGGAATCAGGGAGAGGAAGGGAAGGAGCCTCAGGAAGAGGAAGTCATCAAGAGCACTCCCCCAATGACCCACCTCCTCAAGTCAGACCCCACTTGTCTATAGTCACCACCCAGTCAGCCCAGTCAAACTTGGACAGATCTAATAGGTTACAGCTCTCACTACCCAATCATTTTATTTCCAAACATTCCTGCATTAATGCAAGAGCTTTGGGGTTTTGGGGGACACCTCATATTCAAAGCATAACATGGAGATAGCTGAGTGATATTTTAAAAGACACAAAATCAGGGAGATTGTTTTTTTCTAAAAATGAAATTACATAAACTGACAGATATCAGTTCATAGTAAACAAGTAGAAGGAAAAGCTATACATAAAATTAAAATGATGCTAAAATTAGGAGGAATAAGATCACTAGAAATTAAAATCATCAATAATTAAATACTGCCTTTATAAAAATATGTTGTTAATAAGTATTTAATCATATTGCTATTATTCATTATTTACTCATTCATATTTACTCAGATATAAGAAACATAATGGAAATTTGTTATAAAGTCACTTAATTTGTACCTCTAAAGCAAATTTTAATAGAAAGCAGATAGTTCTTAGAAGTCATGGATAGGGTTTAGAAATTAGAGTCTCAACCAGATTTCATTAAGAGGTATTTAACCTACGAGGGCCATATGATATAGGGTTCTAAGAACTATGGTAATATCCACTGTATTAGTAAAGATAGCATAGTTGATATTTTTTTTCCTCTCTTTTCTCCCACTGAACATTATTGGAATGATAACATCAGAGGGTTGTTGAAAACAAAAGGAAATTACATGTTTAAAGTGCCTAGGCTATAGCCTGCTGTATATTTAATAATGCCAGTTCTCTTTCCTATATTTAATAACACGAGGACAATGGAAATCTTTAAGTAGAAAATTTGGACTAATAGATAGCTAAGAAAACAAGTGCTACTTGAATTTTCAAAGAATCAAAGAGGAAATATTAGTACCCTCGCAGAAATGAGATTTGACTCTCTCTCCACATGGTGAAAATGTATGTCACACAAAAATGTCTTGAACATGCTACTCTAGCTGTAATCTCTGGGTTTTTTTCCTGGAGAGTAGTGGTTTATTTCTAGTTTTAAAGACAGAGGCTTAAATAGGAAGCCAAAGAGTAAAGACTCCTAGACCCAGAGCATGCCATCTGCCTAGCATTAAGCAAGAGCTGAAAGTCAGTTACAGAAGCAAAGACTTTCTGACCGTGATTTATGTTCCATCCTTGAATGTGACAGGAAGACTGCAAAAGATATTTGGAAGCCAATGCTTCCTCTGAATCAAGTAAATGAGTATATGCTAAGCTCCTCTCCCCAGACCATGCTGGCCTGTTAGGTAAGTTGCCAATATGGAGTCTTTGAGTCCTGCAGCAAACTGGCTATCTGGGATGAGAAAATATCTCAAGGCCAATGATCATTGCTACTGTAAAGGCACAGTGCACAGAATAAACACTGGGGTCAGACAAGAGATATCCAGGATATTACTCAAAAACACATCTAGCTCAAAGCTGACAAGATAATCTGTTCCTATGAGTGCAAAGCAGACTGGAATGCTAGAGCTATGACCTACTCAAGGAAAGGAAAAAAAGAGAGTGAAACTCTCCAAGGGCTCCATCTCAGGCTCTTTATGCAGGCAAAGCTCCAACAGACTTCAAAGGGAGTGTTGCTAAGGAGGGAGACCTGGGCCAAGCCCACAGGGGGTATCACTTCCGAGATCCTGTTGCCATCTACATTTGGTGGACTGGCAAATGCAAATATTTCAGATACGAGTTTAAACAGATGAAAAAAGAAGTGTGAAATAGCTTGGAGATTTGCTTGCAAAAGAAACCTCAGAATTCCAGGAAAAGTATTTAAAATCAGAAGCTTCTTAAGTTATCCCCAATGTCCCAAGTGAGTAATTGGTGTGTGATAAAGGATCAAAAATTAAATTGTGTTTTAAACGGTTACATATTGCACTCCAATCTCCAACATATCACCTGATCCCAAAATTGTGAAAAAACAAACAAAAACAATTCTTTCAAACTTAAGTACTCCTAAAAGGTCAGTAACATGTTTCTAGTTGAAACACAGATAATATTTTGATGCTTTAACCAAATTTTAACATACATGATGCTGATTAATGTAGAAGAGCCCAAGTCATCAAATATACTTACAGGAGGACCTGTGGGGTAAGGGGTGGAGAGAGAAGAAAAAGAAAAAGGGAGAGATGAATTAGTGAGTGTGCAAAATGCTAAGATTAAATAAAAGCTTGAAAGATCTTCATCATTCTCATCACAATACAAGGGACATGGAGGTTACTAAGAACTCAGTGATTATTGGTCATTTTGTTCTAGATCATGAACTTTTTTAGGTCATGAGCTCTTTGAGACCATCTCAGAAAAATGCCTTTATACTGGCACAAAAATCTTACATACAATCTCATGGGATTTTCAGATTCCTCAAGATCTGTTTGTCAATTACTAAGAGGGCCATCATTTTTTGGGGGGGCGGGCAGGGGAGTCGGTACCTGGGATTGAATTTAGGGGCCCTCAACCACTGCGCCACATCCCCAGCCCTATTTTGTATTTTATTTAGAGACAAGGTCTCACTGAGTTGTTTAGCATCTCCCTGTTCCTGAGACTGGCTTTGAATTTAGGATCCTCCTGTCTCAGCCTCCCAAGCCGATAGGATTTCAGGCATGCTCCACCATGCCTGGCCAATTATATTAAGTGAAGTCTGTTCTATTATAAGTTTAGATAAAATATGAATCAAGAAAATCTTTGGTTATTTAAGACAGACCAGTTAATGAGAATTGATATCTAACTTCTTGAGTTAGGTAAAACAGCCAAATCAGAAATGTACCTGTGATTTGTTTTAAGAATCCTTTTCATTATTAATACTGTCTAAACATAAAAGAGTAACTCCTAGTGTTTATGCCAGGGTTTCATTAAAACTATGGATTCTCTTCAAAACCCAAGCAAAGTCTAAGAAAATGTCAGTATTTCCTGCACTATATGTTCAATTAAAGCACCAATTCTAAGTAGCAAAAAAGTTGAGAATTGATTTTTATGTTTCTAATAAAACTTTGCATAAGCATAAAATTTTCTTTTTCCCTTAAACGCTCTCTTTCTTATGACAAAAACGTCATTTCCATAATTGTGTGAATTCAGCAATATTTAGTCACTTCTTTTTGCCTCAAATTTATAAAGCAGCCTATTAAAAAAGTTTGCACTTGGTGAAGGGATACCTTTACAAGTTTTCAATTATTCAGTTTCAATGAGGTTGAAAGATAGCTTTTGAAGATACTTTTAAAGAAATCCAGCAGCTATATGGCTCACATTAATGAATTTTCATAATCTCTTTTTAATTTGACAGTTTTTTTTTTTTCAAAACGGAAAAGGAAATGAGACCTCCCCAATCTCCCAATTAATCTGCTGTCTGCTCCTCCTGGGTTAGTCTCCTAAGGTTTCAACACTCAGTAACTGACCATTCTGAATACTAATAAACAACTTAGAGAAAAAAAAGAAATTCACAGCATGTTACAATCAAACTTTAAATTACCTTACCATGAAAGAAAGAACAAATGAGCTGATAAAAACTTCATCTGGCCATTTACATTTTTGGAACCTTAGACTTCATAAAACAAAACAGTAAGTGAACTTACCTACTGGTATTATCGTGGTTGCAAAAATATTTTAATTTGGCATTTCCATTTTGGTTTGCCTATAGGGATTTGGCCTGAAAGCTAAAATGACTGGAGAGGGAGTCAGGACAATTAGTTCTGTTTCAAGTTTGCCTCATAAAAATTGCATGGCCTTGGAGGGATCACCTGACTGCTTCAGGCCTCTGTTTCTTCAACTACAAAATGAATATGCTGGATTGAATACCAATGCTCTTGTCATCACTAGAAGTTTTCAACTATATAAGAAGGATCAAAATCCCCAACACTTAAAAAGAATGGGAATAAAAGCATGACAAAATTGTGCCAGTTGGATGACATAATAATAAAGCTTTCCAAGGCATGTGCCCCAGTGTCCTAAGGCAGATATTTTTGCAAAAATCCTGTATTTCCTGACCACCTACAGAGATGGAAACATGGGCAATGTCACCACACTGTGCGCAGCTAAGAAACCCTCAGTGGGCACAGCAAAATTGGGAGTCAGTGGTTATCAAACTGCAATCAATATTTTGTAAACTTCTTATGACTTGATAAAAACAGAAGAGTAAAAAATAAAAATCTAAATCTAGTGTAGAAGATTTAAACATACACTCAACCTCCAATAAGGTAGTAGTATCATTAATTAGAAGAAACAGATGTGGGGACCTCACTGGAACATGAATGACACAGCAGCTGAGAGAGACTTACCAGATTCTCCTCTTCGACCCCTCTTCCCTCGTTTTCCTGGAGGACCTGAAATACAAAGAATACATTTTTTAGTGTACTTTAACTTTTTTTCCCGGGGTGGTGGTGGTGGGGCATTGCAAAATGGTTAGTACATGATTTCTATATATTTTCTCACTGTTTTAAACCACCAACTTCAAAAAGAGACCTGATGTTTGTAAAGAGCAATGTTGTCTTTAGTGTTTCAGCAAAACTGTTAAGCTCTATTTAATTATAAGCTGATCTGATCTTCCAGTGTTACTGAAGAACATTAGAATCAGAATTTTTGTTCATCCTGCTTAATATCATCAGTAAAGAAAGGTTTTGCAAAGCAAAGTGTTAGTATTGAGATTTTGTTTGTTAAAAATATGTATTTTCTGAAAGTTTTAGTATATTACCAATAGAAAGTACTGATTCCCCAGTGACTACAGTTTCTGCTCAGTCAAGTTTATCATAATCTTTCTGGAAAGATTATGATATTACATTAATTAGATATGATATTACATTAATTAAATGTAGATATTAAAATGTAGATATTAAAATAGATATTAAAATGTAGATATTAAAAATAGATATGATATTACATTAATTAAATGTAATATCAGTCAAGGAAAAGAGCTGTAAAATATTTCTATTTCATTACATGTGAATATACTGAAACTTCTTTAACTGATAATCAGTTGAGTAAATTTACCTCTCTTAACTGCACTATGTTTGGATAGTAAGTTTAATTTTTCTAGAGATAGACTCATTTAATGAATAGTCTTTGTGATGATGCTATTCTAAAAGTACAGAAAAAACTTTTTTTCAGTGAGTTGACTCTAAGGACCACCAAGCTGGTATGTATCAGACTTAGCACAAAATTCAAGACATTCATAGCTTTCAAAGCCATTATTCTCAATTATATAATTTCTGTCCTCATTTCCTTGGGTAGGAATAGCTTCCACTGAATTATGGTTCAGGCAAATAGAAGAGAATAATTAGCCCACCATGAGAATGGAGGGCCTATAATATTGTTGGGAAAAAGGGCCAAGGAAAATAGAGAGTTGACTGGATTTAAAGAATGAGTTGCAGTATAGGCTTCAGCACACAGTGACTCTCAGTGTGACACAGAGCCACCAGCTTACACATGGAAACACTATCCTGAGAAATGAAAACATCAGTGGGCCAGTGAGTTTTCCCCCAAATCCTCCCACAGGATATATCTGGCCATGAGTGTTTGGGAAGAGGGTTAAAATCAATTGAGCAATGAAACAGATTAAAAATATTAGGAGAAGCTGCTTTGAAGTAAAATCCACAACAGTCATAGAAATTTCAGATTTCTTTCTGTATTCTGGGTTAAGGGGAGGTTTTTGTCATATTCAAGGTATTTTTGGTCAGGTTAAGAACAGGAAGAGAATCAAAGAACTAAGTATTCAAACCTAGTAAGTCCTCAATAGGTATGAAAAAATACATTTATACACTTACCCAAATATACATATATGTGTCTGTACATACTGACATTTTCTAACATATACAACTTCCTTAATATTAGTAATCAGATTTTTTGTTGTTGTTATACAAAGTCACTTAAACTAAGAACTACTTAAGAAACACTGTGTAGTTAATGATGTCTGTGGTTCACTTGGTAAGAAAAGTAGTAGAAGGCACCGTAAGAGAACAGTTGACCATTATTCCAGAACAGAATAGAGAAATCCTAAGATGGAATTTTAATTGACAAGTAAAAACAATACACCTTTAAATACATAGAAGGAGAAACTTGGGACTATCAAAAGATAAAGAGAAAATATTAAAAATTACCAGACAGAGTTATAGAGAATTACAAAATGGTAGGCATTTTAACTGACTGCTGACTGACTCACAACAAAGGTGACAGAAGGTCCCACCCTAACTTTTAGGACTCATCTTGTCCTTACTTATTTATTGGGAATTAGCTTATTTACTACTTTTCCCCTCAAGAATCTTCCTTGGGAATGGTAAAATTCACCAAAAACAATAGATTGCATAAATAATTTTAAGAGATTGAAAAAAGTACTTTTAAAATAACAGATTAGGAAAAATGATCAAAGAAGCAATGGTATCTTTTGAAAAAAATTAAATGACAAAGGAATAATATTTCTGAATCTCTCTGCCTTAAATATTCAATCAGAAGGCTTAAAGAAATGAATTAAATGTTGCAGGAAATCTGTTACCTTGAGAATTGAAACACAGGGTGTAAGGAATTAGAACACACTTGGCAAGACAGGTATCTATTGAAGAGAGTTTTACAAAGAATTTCATAATATTTGACAGAGAAAATGAAGCTAAATTATGAGATGATGAGAATCTAAAATATACTGGATTTGCAAATAATATCAAATTGAAGAAGAATATATTACAATTACAATAGGAAGGAGAAGACCATATTGAGTATTATCCTGAGTGCAGTGAACTGAAAAATTATATGAAACTCCCAGAAAGACCTAGATAAAGATCTTGCATCAAGGAGAATAAATTGAATTTTTATGTCTCTGTGTGGGTAAAAGAATTTGATCTTGCTTCTGAATTTAAGAGCAAAAATAAAATTCAAAAATGAAATGGATGAGATGAATTTGACAACAGACAGCTGGCCTATAAGAAGTGAAAAGACAAAAGATCAGGAAAAAACACATGATAAACGTTTTCCAAACAAAAGTGATATTAACAATAGTTGGAAAAGACAGTGACCATTTCCATTCCAAACTGAGTGATAAGTGTCAGTCAGGCATCAACTATAAGAATAAATAGAGTGGGCTGGGACTGTGGCTCAGCAGTAAAGCGCATTTGCCTGGCATGTGTGAGGCACTGGGTTCCTTTCTCAGCACCATGTATAAATAAATAAAATAAAGATCTACCAACAACTAAGAATAAATAAATAAATAAAGTAGCTAGAACAGGACTCTTATTCACTGAATTTGGCCAGAGGTTTGTAACAGAAAATTCCAAGTAATTCTATCAGCAGAAAGACATGACTCTGCAAAAGAAACAGATTAAAAAATATGAATGAGAAGAGAAAAAATAGAAGCTATCAGCAACAAAGGAAGTGAAACTTCCACACAGAGAATTTATGCATTGAAGAATGAGTTCTAGAAAATAGAGGGAGACTACAAAACCAGATTGCTCTTCAGGATTACCGATTCATGGCCACTGCCACTGCTTATGTTTTAGAAAGAGTTTGTGCTAACTTTGCAAAGATGATACAAACAGTCTAAGAGAGAAATTCTTTGTTTATTTTTTTTAAAGCAGCCATAATGATAGTACTTTACAGACCAGCCATTATAAACCCAACAATAGACAGATCCAGGTCATCAAATAATATCACAGCAAGGCCTTTTATAGCAAGCCAGTGATTTGGGCCTAAACTAATATGGTGTGAACGCTCTACTCCTAACTAATGATATACTGTGTTAAGGCTTTCCTCTAAGATTAGAAGTAAACCCGTGCATATATATGAGCTTTCATGTGGCCTTGAGGGTGGGTGGTTATTAGAGGTACTAAACGTGCTGATCTGGCTTATCGGATTACTTTCAATAACCTGTTGATTCTATCCCTGTTTTTATGCATCTGTTTATTCCTCTCTACTCCTGTCAGTATTGCAAGATCAAGCTTAAACAACCTTTCTGGGGGCTCAGATACACAGTATTTATTTTTTATTTTTATTTATTTGGTTATTTTTTATCTTTTATTTTAGAGGACTAGAAATTGAACCTAAGACCTTGCATGTGCTAGACAAGTTGGTTATCATTGATCTACATCTCCAGCTCCAGTATGCATTTAAAAGCAGTAAATTCAATTTAAAATTTGAAAAAAAAATTGACAAATTTAAACATGTCAATACAAACATGTATTGACATGTTTCAATGGCTAGTAATAAAAATTCAAAAATTGTTAGTAAAATTATTCAGTGTATTTTAATTACAAACAATAAAAAGGAAGACACTAAACTTTGATTTTCATACTCTAATCAGATCAGATCAGAGTTTTAATAATGTGAATATTTATAATGTCCTGATCCCCTAAAACTAAACTTGTTTTGTTAAATTCCTAGAGGATATTTTAAAAAACTGAATAAAAATACCCAAACTTTAAAATAATTTTATGGATATGCTTTTTATAAGAATGCTTATATTGAAGCTTTTATACAGGAACTTTTTGAGAATTCCATATAAAACTTATAACAAAATATATTTTTAAAATTATGTCCACTCAATGAAGGTTAAATACAACTATGGGTGGAGCTGGGGATCCAAATCATTGGTAGAGCCCTGGTGTAGCAGACACAAGTCTCTGGGTTCAATTCCCAGCCCTTCAAAACCAAATTAACCAACCAAATATCATGCTTAGTGAAATAGCCAAACCCCCAAAACCAAAAGCCAAATGTTTTCTCTGATAAGTTCATGCTAATCCATAATGGGGGGTGGGGAAAATAAAAGAACTTTAGATTGTGCAGTGGGGAGTGAGGGAGGGGAGGGGGCAACAGGATGGGAAGGGTGGGGGAATGAGATGGACATTATTACCCTATATACAGGTATGATTACACGACCAGTGTAACTCTGCACCATGTTCAGCCAGAGGAAGGAGAAGTTATACTCTATGTATGATGTGTCAAAATGCATTCTACTGTCATGTATGACTAATTAGAACAAATTTTAAAAATTCTTAAAAATTAACCAACCAAACAAAAACCAAATCCAATGTGACCCATGGAAGGTAATAATAATAATAAAAAATTATTTGAGTGGCTAATAAATGAGTTTTTATTAACAATGTAAAATATTAAGTCTAAAGCCAACTGACTATGTACTCGTTTAAATGTAAAACAAAATACTCTTTTTATGTAGTAGCCAAAACAGGTTATGTTACTGGTTTAAAAGAAAATGAGCTGATTATTCCAGAATATAGTTTTCACTGGGAGATTCTTAAAAAGGAAAACATGATTTTCTGGCAAAGTATGTTTTTCCTTTCTCATAAAATATACCAAGACTAAGACTCTTGTTTTTTCTATTTTTTTT